CTTACAAGCCTTCTGTTTTCAAACTTTTACAAGAATAGTAGATAAACAGAAAATGACACAACGTAAGAATAAATATAAGCAGATCTTGGGTCAGCCCAGCTACTAAATTTACATTACAGCTGAGAATAACATCTTCTACAATTTATAGAGGTTTCTTTCTTGCCACATTTAAAAATAGTCTTGTAACACAAGATAGGTGCATTATAAAACTCTATAGCCCCTGGTGGTCTAATGGAAAGGCGCCGCGCTGTCACCGCGGAGACCCGGGTTCGATTCCCGGTCAGGGCCACTCCCGGGCAGGTGGGGCTCGTTAGCTCTTAAAGGCAACCCACCTACGTCCTGAGGACCTCGCTGCCACCGTCCAAGCTCGCTTGGCCCCGGCAGATGAACCTTAGGATTAAAGGGTGGGCTCAGTTCCGCGCACACTGTGTCTCACCTAAAAAATCCAATGCGCAGGCTGGAAGGTGGAAAGACCTTCCCCGGATCTTCGCTCGCGAAGACTGGCCATTATTATTATAGATCTGAAGAGAAAGAATAGCTTTACAGAGTACATCTGCACAGCAGCTTCCTGAAAAGGTTTTGGTAGTATTTATTCATACTGCTGAGGAGACTTTTTCTTCTAAGCTGATAAATAGTATGGAACTTTAACACTGTGTTCAAAGAAACTTTATATCATTATATATTCCTATAGTTGCCCTCATCTTCCTTATCACATTCCCTCTTATTTTAGGTTAGCTCCCTTATTGCATTCTAAATTACAGGGTATTAAAAACTGCAGTTTTTAAGACATGGATCATCTTCTCTGAATTGTTTCTGCATTATCTTTCCCACTGGAGCCCTAGCTTCACAAAAATCTATTACTACTGCTGCCATACAGACAATAACAGAACAACTAAATGCATTACCATGAAGAAAGGGACAGTCTCCAGCCCTGCCAGAACACATAACTTTCAATCATTTAGAAAGCTGCAATGATATTTCAAGACTGTATGTGATTTTAAATAACTTGAAGAATCATATGACCAAAGAACATGCAGCAAACACAAGGCAGAAATCAACCTACCATTCCTCCAGGAAAAGTACTACTTTAAAACAAAACAAAACAAAATTAAAAAAATAAGCAAACAACATATTTCAGTAGCTATTAAGACTTTTATTTCCCCTCACTACTGAAGTAGTGAGCTACTTCAGTTGTTCAACACAAGAATTTCCTAAGTAGGTAGCAAAGAAATCTGCTCAGGCAGCCTGTTTAAATGCATTTAGAAAGCACTGCCTCCTCTGATCTTTCAGGGAAATGTTTTTATTTCCAGGGAGTTGTAGGAGAGCAGACTGTAAGGTTAATTGTCTGATACGCCGGCTGGGGATTGATGCAACTCAGTGACAGCCCTCTGTGAGCTGCAATGAGGGATTTGGAACACTGACACAACCAGCCCACAGGCAGGTGACAAACCTGCACTGAGATAGGGCACTTATGACAAATAAAAACTCAAATAGACCCAGGAGATTTATATTCATTATCAAGTATATGCTGTGATGAACTTAGGGCTTTTCTAGAATACTCTGAATATGGTTTGCAGATCTGGTTGCTGGGCTGTTTTCTGCCTGAATATGTAGGCTCACTTTGATAGACAGATGTAAGGAAAATCAAGCATGAAAGAAAACCAATGGCTTGAAAAAGCAAAGACTCTCCAAAAAACCTGCAGGTTTTAATTTTCCAGTGTACATGCAAGCTATTTTTCCAAGAAAGTCAAATCCTAAAAATGCAGAGTCCTGACTTTATGAACATATCTCTGTACCAAGTGAGCAGATAACTGTTTGAGGTCCTTGCAAGACAGTCTTTTTCAGAGGAAACTTGTCCCGTTTGGGCTAAGCATGCAGAAGAAAGTGGACATCTTATGGGGTATTTCCTTTTTTTCTTTTTTTTTTTCTTTTTTTTTTCTTTTTTTTTAAGTATTTTTCTCTGTGTTGATTTATTGCTGAATATTATGAATATTTTCACAGCAGTGTCTACATTGGAGGATACGTAGGGCAGATGTAGTAGACAAGAAGGCAGTAAATAGTTCCTTAAGGTCGTGTCAGGGTAGGGACGGATGCCCACCTACACTTCCAAATGTGACTCTCATATTCCTGCTGCTTTCATTCCCTCCCAGTCTAGGTGCATTTTAAAACCATGTTCTGTTGTAATGCATTCCAAGGAAAAGGGGAACATGACAATGCCTGCTGAAAAGGACAGACAGCAACATTTCTGTATTTCCTCTTTTCAAATTGGGAAAGGACAAATCTTACAGGTTTTGCCATGTTATTGCTTCTTCAATAATGGTAGGCTCACTGCAGCAATGTATGGTAGTTGTTTCTGCACTTGTTTGAGTGGATCAAAGTCCAGGACTGATTCAATTTTTGTTAAGGTGGTTTTTGTGTGTGTGCGTGTGTGTTTTGCTTTTTTGGTTTGGGGGTTTTTGTTTGTTTGGTTTTGGAGGGGGTTGTTTGTTTTTTGTTTTTTTGGGTTGTTTTGTTTTGGTTTTTTTGGGGGGTTTTGTTTTGATTTTTTGTTGTTTTTTGTTGTGGGTTTTTGTTGTTTTTGGGTTTTTTTGATTGATTGGTTGGTTGTTGCTTGGATTTGTTTGGTTTTTTTGTTTGGTTTGGTGTTTTGGGGGGGTTTTGTTTGTTTGTTTGGTTGTTTTTTGTTCATTTAGTGCATGTTATAGGACATAATGAGTTAGCACATTTTTATACATCTGGGTTACTTTTTCATGACATTTAAAATATATACACTTTCATAGACCAAAGGAGGTCAAAGGCCTAAGGCTCATAAGTGAGACTAATTAGAAATACACAGAGCTTTGGTATGTGTTGCCATTCGAGGTCCAAAATTTCAGAGCCAGGACATCTCTTAAGATGCTGTGAGGGCTGACTGAGGAAGAATTAGTGGAAATCTCTACATACCCTCAGCGTTGCCTAGAAACCAGGGGAACAGTTGTGATGTGTTTCTAAAAATGCTCACTTAAATTTGTCTGTTTTAATTATCTACATGGTGAAAAAAAGTATAGGAACATTAGGGAGAAGATTATGAGAAATCAGTCATTTGGGTTGGACAGAACAGCCTACTTACCACATGTTGAGTACCACAAACAGAATCTGAGAATCTGAAATTCAGAATTCAGATTAAAAAACCCAAAAAAGTATTTTAAAAGTATAAAAATATTACTATGAGCAGCTAATTTAAAGCAAAACAAACAAACAAAAAGGCAAAAAGAGACAAGTGTTTTTTGTAGCATGATCTCAGCAGGCAATAGAGAGTATTTCAACCATGTAGAGTTGAGAATCTCATACACTTATATTCTCTCCAGTATCTTCAGGTATCTGAAATGGAAACAGTTTAAAGACTACCTCTAAAATCTACAGATTTAATTATGTTAATTATATCAAAGTATAAACCAGAGACTCTGAAACACAAGAATTATGGTAACTCATTTCCTGAAGACCTTTCCCCAAATATCTAATTTCACAAGCAATCAAAAATCTGCTTCAGAGAAAAAAAAAAAAAAGAAAAAAAGAGAAAAAACCAACCAAAACACACACCAGAAAACCTCAAAACAGTTGGATTAGTTTTTTCTGGATTTGTAGGTCTTGCCTGGTAGATACTCCCTATGACACTGATCTCACATCCAAGAGAAATATGAGAAAATGACAAAATGTTATCAAACTACTTTGTTTTGACAAAAAAAGGTAGGTGTTTGTGACATCATGGTTGACAGTAGTTGAAATGCCACAGCAATAGATGTTTTTACCAAAAAAACCAGTCAGAAAGACAGAGGACCACCACACGATGAGGACAGATGAGTTTCTGAGGCATATATTTCCTCTCCTGACCCATCCCAGACAAATTTAACACCAACTACATTTTGAGATTATTTTACAGAAAACAGATTTAGGTTGCCAAAATTGCCACTACAACATGAAGCATAAGAACTAAGGCCATATCCAAGGAGTATTTCATATAGCTAATGGGAGTATCTAAAATTTTAAGGGATATCACAACATTGAATAGCCAACTACTGAGAAGCTTTTGGTAGAGTCTATAGAAAGTACTGGGGTAGATAAAATACAGGTTTCATCCAGCATTTATGTTTGTGTGACTTACTGGAAGCTTTAAATGTGGCAGAAATAAGGAAGAAAAATTGTTTTCAAACACCATCCCCTTGATTTTGCTATGATTTGAACTACATTCAAATTATTTTTGCAAGCATGTAAGAAGATGCAGCAAACCACATTAAAAAAACTGTATTTAGCCTGTAATTAATACTAATTTCTAGATAGTGAAGATGAGTGCCTTTCCAGCTGGAACTACATGTACCCTTTTGTGAGGTGTCTGGTTATGGAGGGGACTGCAGTGCCCCTGGTCAGTGACAAAAAATCTTCACACAAAATATACAAAAACCCTCAAAGATTTCACATTAAGGAAAACAACAACTTGCCAGACAAAATGTAAATATAAGCCTTCTTCAAAAAGCTCAAATTTAGCACATCAGCATACATACATTAATCAATAGGATAAATGCTGTTTATCAAAAGTTTATTTTTGTGGTTCATTTCTAAGGTGCTGCTTAAATTCTTCAGTGTAATGCACTGGGAACGCTCTAAGATCTTGATTAGTCACTCACTCCTCTGAAATATGAGCGATTTGCCATAAATTTCGCCCTGGCATTCATTATTCTTCGACTTCCTGTCAAGTTACAATAGGCTTAGATAATGAGGGACAAAACGGGGCAATGCGCCGCTGGAAGGGACGTTTCTGGGCCGAGCCCGCGGGCTGGGGGGGCGCACACGCCGGGCCCTGCGGCCCCTCGGCTCTGCCCGCCCGGGCTGGGGCTGCGCGGCCGAGGCCTCACGGCGCTCCCGCCGCCATGGCAACGGCGAGGCGGCCGAGGCGGGACCCGCCGGGCCCGGCCCGTGTCCCGCCCCGCCCCGCCCGCAGCAGCAGACGAACCGCCGCTGCCGCCGGGCCGAGCGCCGGCTGGCGCCGCCCTTTCGGGCCCGGCCCGGGGCATGGGGCGGAGGATGGAGTGCGGCGGCAGGCGGAGCCAAGGTGCGGGGGCTCGGTGGTGGCTGCGGGCGGAGGAGGGAGAGCGGGCGGCGGCTGGGGGGGCTGCCTGCCGGCGGGACGCACTGCTGCCCGGCCTGCCCTGCCCGTGCCGGCCGTGGGGGTGCGGGGCGCGGGGGCGGGCGGTGCCTCCCCGTCCCCGCTGCGGTGTGGGGCGGGCACGGCGGGGCCGGGCGCGGAGCCTGCGGGGCAGCGGGGGCCGCTCGGGGCGCCGCGGCTCGTGCGGCGGGCGCTGAGGGGGCTCGAGGCTCGCTGCTCTCGCAGACGGCCCCCCGAGCTGTGGGCAGCGGGGCCCGGGCGGGGCGGTGGGGCCGTGGGGAGAAGAGCCTGGTGCCGGGGCTGCGGAAGAGATTGACAGCTCAGTGTCTAGAACCCCCCCGAGGGTTGTAATCCTCCGAGAGACGGGCCCTGGAACTGGCCGTCATCGCGCTGTGCCCCCGTGTTGTACAGCCATCGAGAGCCGCTGTGGGCAGCGTGTCAGGCGGCCAGGATCCGCCGCTGCCTTTGCGAGGCCCAGATTTCTGTGCCAACTTTTTTTGGAGTCAACTTTTGTCTTCTTCAAAGCTGGTATTCATGGTTTGTTATAGGGGATTGTATCCTGTGTGTACAGCATCACATGGCATTTGGCTGCAGATCCGAGTGTTTTGGCTTGGGATTTTAATGCGAGCGTAGCTGAAAAATAGAAGACTCAAAATCTTTGAAGATCTTATAAAATGATTCCTTACCCACATTTAACCTTCCGTGGGCTGCTCTGGTACTCTGTTCCTATAGGTCATTAGTGATAAAAACAGGCACAAACATACAAAAATGTTTGCGTGAGCCAACTCTGAAATAAGATATTTTTAGATATAAACTGGATTACATACATAATATAAAACAATGGTAGGAATTAGTGCTGCACTGTAATGTCAAAATCATACATAGCTGCATAAGGTCAGAGCCTTTGAGGTAACGTTATGCTTTTGTGTTGCATCTCAGTGTCAGTTCCAGTCTTTGGAGACAGTGACAGATGTCACTTCAGAAGTCTGATATCAGAGTAGAGCTTGAACATGAATATGGGAATATGAATTTCAGAGCAAAAAGTAGTATCATGTGCATCCAATTTTTATTCTCTCTCATACAGTGTGAAGGCAATTTTATTACAAATTTATTCTTCTTCTGACTCTTGTTTTTGATTCTCAGAATACTTTTATAGACAATCAGAAAGCATGCTGATTGTCTGTTGACTTTAAAATGGGAATATGTAAGATGCAGGATCAAAATTTCATTCACGTTGCAGCAAGCTTTGTTTGAATGACTTCTGTTTAACAAAAAAAAGGTTCAAAAGTAGGAGAGAACCTACTGTGTGTGTGTTAACATGGGAAGCTATTGCTTGTCTGCATAGAAAGTTATGATGGAGTCCATAGTGTGTGACTGGATAGCCCAGTGTCTAGGTTCACAGGCACACAGGAAGGATTCTTACAGAGAACAAGGCAGAGATAATAATTCCTTACACTGAACTACCCTAAAAGTTTGTGTGCCTGAGCAAACTTGGCAGAACAGCCATTGGATTGCTTGCAGACAGTTTATGAAAAAGAGAACACATCAGATTTATGGTTTCTCTATAAGACAGTTGTATCTACACACTGTCTATCCAAAACATTAATGCAGAAAAGGTGGAATACCCTATTCCGTGCCCTTGTATGTTCTGTGCAAAGTTTATTGTTCAGACTTTGCCTCATTGTTGTAAAGAAAGAACTGAAACATTTTAGTTGTTTTGTATCAGGGTTTGTTTTGTATAGTGAGAATACTGAGCAAGTAGAATTCTTTTCTTTTTTCTTTTTTTAATATATTGAACTATATAGGATTTGCATGTAGGTCTTTTCAAAGTTCAAATAAGGCTGAGGGGTTTTTCCCCCACAGAAGTATTGAAGAATTAATCCATTATGTTTTTCCCTAATTCCAGGTATAAACCTCGAAGTTATTTACTGTAGTAATTTCAGGAGTCAGTTAATATACTCACAGATTTGTAGTATGACCTCAAATAATCTGAATACTGTAATTTTAAACCAGCTTTGTTCCTTAAATCCAGTCTTCTGCGTTGGGCTGTTTAATTCCCACAGACAGTGATTTGCACATACCCTGAACAGCAATGAAATCATACACTTACTGTTAGTCAATGGAACACATTTATGCTACTTTTATAATAGTGGGAAAGTCATCATTACTGCTGCATGGAGGCTGCTGTTAGGTTCAGACATTTTGCATAGGCGTCAAAGATTCTAAAATTAAATTAAAATACTTCACATATTTTCAGACAACACCATTTTACTTTAGATTTTCCTTTACATTAATCTGACTGAAACTGAAAGGGTGTTAACACAGATCTGTGACTTCTGAACTGGTTTTTTTTCTTTGTGTTCCTTCATTTGCCACTTGAACAGCTTTTTAAACTCAAGCATTATTTGGTAGTACCAGTTCAGTTTTTCAGAAGCTGAATGTAACCATTAGTCAAATAGTCTATTAAGTGAGTTTTAATCACTTAATGTGATTAATCCCATCTCCATTCAGCAAATAAGTTTGTATAAGGACTTAAGCGCCAAATTGGTCCCATTTCACTGAAGATTTCTTGCATGCTTCAAGTGAAATACTTGTTAAAGTAAACAATATTCAAACCATTAACCCTACTAGCTTCTTTTCTCCAGATTACACTCTGTCACTTTCTCTGTAGCACAGTGGATCAAGGTTTCTCTGCTCTGCATTCTGGGCAAGGCTGTCTGTGCTGTAGACTTCTGCTGATCTATTTCCTGGTAGAAATGGGAGAGGGTGGAAGTTAATAGCACTAAGGGGATGAGCAAGGGGGCATTCTTGTAGGCACAGGTTATACTAACAAGGGAGATTTTTTTTCCATACATGTAGAAGAATATACATATAGTGTGTCTATATGTTTAGATATATATTATATGTATATATACATATATTTTATCTCTTGGTCCACATGACAGTAGATATTGAAACACTTTCGAACTGTATGTTCGTAGGATGACATGTTGAGTTCCATGTAGCAGTAGAAGTCAGAGCACACATTGGTTGTGTAGGATGTGCTCATGAGGTGATCTAGCACCCCTGAATAGTAGCAGCATTCCACCAGGGGAGTTGTTACAGCACACGGTAGCATATGCTCCTGGGTTACCTTCTTGCACAGGCACAGCTATCCAGGGAACTCAGGTTAGTAACCCTGTAAGACAGCAGTTTCTGAACTGTAGTTTGAATATTGATAGTTGTTCACCTATCACTTAGTAGCAGCATACAGCCACTGCTGGAACACCATCCCTCACGCACCCTTCCAGGAAATCAGAAACTGCAGGTGCCACTGCTAATTTCAGAGACGCTGCCCAAGGAAATGATCATAGAATTTTTAAGGTGGGAAAAGACCTTTAAGGTCATCAAGTCCAACCATCAGACAGCGCCACCTCCATGTTCACCATTAAACCACGTTCTCAAGTGCCATATCCACATGTTCTTTGAACACTTCCAGGCATTGTGACTTCACCGTTTCCCCAGGCAGTCAGTGCTTTCTAAGCCAATGCTTTGCAACCCTTTCCATGAAAAAAAAATTCCTAATATCTAATCTAAACCTCACCTGGCACAACTTGAGACTCTCTACTTGGGAGACTTCTCTACTTGGGAAAAGAGACTGACACCCACTTCACTACAACCTTCTTTCAGGTAGTTATAGAGAACGGACTAAAGTTCATTTGCTTCTGACTGCAACTTGTATTGCCAGGTGTGCTATTGACACACACAGCTCTTTGTTTCTGCTTTTGGAGCATGAATAGAGCAATAACCTGCATCCAAAACTGCCCTTAGAGGCCACACCTGTAGCTAGAAAAATTCTAACAAATATTTTCCAAGACTTATTTCATCAAATATGACTCAGTATCTTTTAAGGCTACTGTACTATTTCATTAGATTTCTTAAAATTTTCAGGTAAGGGTTTGACTCTTGAAACTGAAACATAATTTTGGTCGCATGGTTTTAATTTATGCAGACTATTATTAGATTATTAATTGTAAAGAACTGAGGGACCTAACTCTTAGGCACTGGGAGTACATGTAAAGAAGAGCTTTTGTGTAATCCAGCATATTAAGTGTATAAATAGCACCCATCTAATTAATGGCTTAGAAGGTTATGTGTAGTGCATGTCAAGGCATGTATCACTTTCATCATATTTTGCCTCTCACACAAATGATTCCATGCAAAATTCAGATGGAATATTTGGGACTTCCATCGGGGCATTGTGGTTTCTTGGGGCTTTATCAAGATTTGCAACAGACAATTTAGCTAATAGTGACTATTTTTAACTCTGAATTCTACCATTTCTTAACAAATCTTAAATGTGATTCTGTTAAAGCTGGCTTCACATCTACAACTTTATATTCTCAGAATTGGTAGGAGTTTTGAAATCGGAAAAGAGTGTAAAAGGCTTCTGTTTTGCTTGCATGAATCGGAAAAAAAATACAGGTGTGATTATGAAGTACTCACTGTAACTTTCAAATAAAATGGGATACTATCTGCATTCAGTAAGTGGCTAAATCTAAAGCTACATTTGAAGGTCTCTTGTGATTGCATTGATGTTGTGAAAAACCAGTGTTTTAACCCCTTCTCCTAAAGGAGGAGTTTGTGGGTGCATCACTGCTCTCTGATGACCTTTTCCTCTATCCAGTTCTGCGCCTATTAGCCAACTTCACCCATTTGAGTAAGAACTAGGAGTATTAGTTATACAAATGTCAGTGGCTGGGTAGGAGGAAACCCAACAAATTAATACACATTTTTTAGAGAAAGTAATTCTATTCTGTGTTCTTTCCCAGATATGTAACTAGAGGGTAAGTACTAGTCAGCCAAGGATAAGCAACCAGAGAAGCTTAAACTGGATGACCAATTGTAGTAGTCATAGCACCCCGTCAGCCACAGCTGAGCAAGTAGGGATGGCTGAGGGGAGAAAT